TGGTTTTGGACCCGACCTTGGTGGAAGCTCGTCACTACTTTCAACCTACGGCTAGGTTAGTTACTTACTCAGTACATGGGGTCAGTTGTACTGATACTACACTTCTGCACATTGCGTGTAGATATTGGCTGTCATTGTTGCTGTGCTCGATTGTTGCAGGATCTGAAGATGTACCTACGTTCCTGTTGTAGCTGCCTCTTGTTCAGGGTAGCCTTAGATTTATAAAAGCTCTGTTTATATATTATTCAAACAGACTATGTATTTATTTTATTTTCGCTTTGTATACTCTATTCTTAGAAGCTCATAATTTGTACTACCAGTTCTTGGGGAGATGTATTGGTTTTAGATATTTTCTTTTAATTAATTTCATTGGAATTGGATAGTTGGAAATTGGCTTACCTAACGGGTTGGGTTAGGTGCCATCACGACTAGTGATTTTTTTTGGGTCGTGACAGTTTAGACCCATCAGAAATTGTACCAGTCTTTGTTGTCCCATGCGTTCTGCATATTCTTTATGCTTTGTGCATTCACATGGCAATGGTACCATCGACTAATACTCATCCCATGCACGTTTCAATTTTGAGTAATATTCTGACACTGATAAACTCCCTTGGCTAGTGGTACAAATTTCTCGGAGCAGTTGATAAACTCTAGTGAGATTTTTCTTATCAAATCTTTCCTTTAGGTCTGTCCAAACACTATAGGCATTGGTTGAGTACATTATACCATTTGCTAGTTCTTTAGACACTAAATTAGTTATCTAGGACAACATGAAAGCATTACATCTCTCCCATTCATGTTCCAAATCACCATTATACTGTTCTTTCTGATATTTTCCATCTATGAACCCTAGCTTATTTTTGGCTAATAAAGCTATTCGCATAGAATTACTCCAAGCCGTATAGTTTTCTATTCCCATTAGTTGTTGAGGGATTAGAGCACTACCTGGACTGTCGGAGGGATGTAAGTATAGAGGATGCCTGGGATGTATGTCCGTGAACTTTTCTCCGTCGTCCTTCCCGGTCTCCAGAGTTGAATTCGTCATCGACGAGGCTTGGAATTAGTGAATCGAAGGTAGAATCAAGGTCGATCTTCAAGGAAAACCTTGCACTTTGCCGGAATTTGCGAATTATGAGATCGATCGCAAACCCTAAGTGAATCGCCCAAATTTCTGACGAACTCTCTTAATTTCTTACTTCTCCGATAAAATTGAGTGAGTATACTGATACTAATATTAGATTCCTCAAAGTATCAGCTCGAAAATCGCCATGGATCTATGACTCTGATACCATAGTGAAAGGGCTATAGTTTGTTAGATTGGATGTTTTTGAGTCGAGTCAAGTATTGGCTTGTGTGGTCTCTCGGTCTCCTCTTTATGATCGTATCAGGGAGCGTCAGTATGATGACCCCATCTGTTTGTCCTTAAGGACACAGTCCAACAGGGTGATGCTAAGAATGTCACTATTGGGGATGATAGTGCATTAAGGATGCATGGCGGGCTATGTGTCCCCAATGTAGATGGTTTGCGTGAGCTGATTCTCCAGGAGGCTCACAGTTCACGGTATTCTATTCATCCGGGTGCCGCGAAGATGTATCAGTACTTGAGACATCATTACTAGTGGAGGAGAATGAACAAAAACATAGTGGAGTATGTAGCTTGGTGCCTAAATTGCCAGCAGGTGAAGTATGAGCATTAGTGACCAGGTGGGTTATTTCAGAAGTTAGAGATTCCGAAGTGAAAATGGGAGCGGATCACTATGGATTTCGTTGTTGGGCTTCCACGGACTCAGTGGAAGTTTGATGCAGTTTGGGTGATTGTGGACCGGCTGACCAAGTCAACTCATTTCATTCATGTGATGACTATGTATTCTTCCGAGCAGTTGGCTCGAGTGTACATCCGCGAGATCGTCAGGCTTCATGGCATACCATTATCTATCATTTCTGACCGGGGTATGCAGTTTATATCATGGTTCTGCAGGGCAGTAAAACATAAGTTGGGTACTCGAATGAAGTTGAGCACATCATTTCACCCTCAGACGGACGGATACTCCGAGCGCACTATTCAGATATTAGAGGATATGCTTCGTGCGTATGTGATAGAGTTTGCGGGTTTGTAGGATCAGTTCTTACCTNTGGGTTTGTGGGATCAGTTCTTACCTCTAGCGGAGTTTGCTTACAACAACAGTTACCAGTCGAGCATCCATATGGCACCGTATGAGGCTTTGTATGGTAGGAGGTGTAGGTCTCCAGTGGTTTGGTTCGAGCCGGGCGAGGCTAGATTATTGGGTACAAACTTGGTTTCAGGATGCTCTGGAGAAGGTTAGGGTGATTCAGGATAGACTACGCATAGCCCAGTCCAGACAGAAGAGTTATGCGGATCGGAAGGTTCGCGATATTACATTCATGGTTGGAGAGCGGGTCTTGCTCCGGGTGTCACCCATGAATGGTGTTATGAGGTTCGGAAAGAAGAGCAAGTTGAGCCCGAGGTTTATCGGTCCATTTGAGGTATTGTGACGTGTTGGGGAGGTTGCTTATGAGCTTGCCTTGCCTCCCAGTCTAGCAGGAGTTCATCCAGTATTCCATATTTCTATGCTTCGGAAGTATCATGGCGATCCGTCTCACATGTTGGATTTCAGCTCAGCCCAGTTGGACAAGGATCTATCTTATGTTGAAGATCCAGTGACTATTTTGGACAGGCAGGTCAGAAAACTAAGGTCA